ACCTGTAGGTTTCGTCCGTAACTCTCCGGCGAAATATGATCGGAGCAGAGCTTCGATCTGGGGGTCGACGTCCAAGGCTTTCCAAAGTCCACTCGTCGAACAGCGTTCACCCACACCTTCTCCAATTTCCGATCCGTTGGAAACTTGTGAAAAAGCACCTCCGGGTTGCGCAGCGGCTTGTTTGAGCAGCCCACAGCGCTTTAAGTTGTACTCGGCATCTTTCGAGGAACAGCTGCGCAGTCTTGAGCGCACCGAGTTGCTCGCTAAAACGGGTCTAGGAGTCCCCACAAGCAAATAAACAAAAAGCTATACCAAAGCTACACGGGCTACAGGTAAAAGCAACGGCTAAACACGCAATTACAAGCCGAAGTAGCGGTAATAGCGGCACAAAGAAGCGCGCGCGACGGCAGCGCCGTGCGCCCGTCCTGAACGGAGGAAAAAAAGAGGACGACGTTGACATCACGGCCCAATGTTGCTTTAGCGATCGGCAACCGGCTGGCCGCCCGCTAAGGAGCAGCGGCTCGCGGCGGGTCGCGTTTTTATTATCGGCATTAGTTGAGAATGCGGCGTTCCACGGACGTGAAATTTTGGCTGGGGTCGTATTTTGTGTCACTAAAGCTATACCAGTAATTTAATTCATTTTGAGTTTTGGCCGGAGTTGCCCTTTAATAACACTTTTGGCAAAGCCAAGAGAAGATTAGGATTTGTCAGACGAACGCTCACGCTTGCTTCACCGAAAACCAAGCTGATAGCATACAATATGTTAGTGCGCCCGATACTGGAATGTGCGTGGGTAGTCTGTGGTCGGTACGCAAAGAAACTTGAATTAAAATCGGAAAGCATAGAACGAAGAGTACTGCGTTTTATATTGCCACGCGCGTGGCTGACCAAGCGCGCCCGTGGCCAAATGGTTATCATCCTTACTGATTACCAGCTGAACGTAATGAAAAGCGCTTTTCATTTCGTCGCTTTTCATTACGTTCAGCTGGTAATCAGTAAGCATGGATAACCAACCGGCTCAGCTACAGGCCATCACTGGTTATCATCTTTGAGGCTCCCAACCCAGCAGAGCGAGTGGTGGCCCGTGACTACCAGAAACTGGCTCCCGCATAAGTACAGGCGAAACTTCGTGATTGACCAGACGTCCGCAAGACATGATTTTTGAGTTGTGGAGTCTTTTCTCTTCGACTTGGACAGTGGCCGTATTGTGGAGGCGATGACTCGCTCGGTGCCTTCGTGCACTTGAGCCAGTACCGCTCCAAGTCCTGCGTTACTAGCGTCCGTGTGAATATCAGTCTCCGCGTACTGAACAAAATGTCTAAGAACCCGAGGAGTATACTCCTCGGGTTCTTAGACACAGTCTTCGCTTTAGCTCGTCAAGTGCCTGTTGATGCTCCTCGCAAATCCTTGAGAAATTCCGAACGAACCGTCGATACTAGGCACAAAAGCCAAGGAAGTTTCGTGCGGCCTTGTTTTTCGGTGCTGGAAATGACGCGACGCCACGAGTCTTCTCGGGGTTTGGGCGGACGCCTTCGTTACAAACCTTGTGGCCTCAGAACTTCACTTCGTTGTAGGCGGGCCGACACTCTGACGGCTTGAGGGTAAGTCCGGCAGTCTGTATCGCGTGGAGTGCGGCTCAGAGTCGTTGAAAGTGCTGTCGAAGTCGCTTGAAAACACTACGACGTTGTCACTTCAGTCCTGTCAGTACGGTGTCCATGACACGCTAGAAAGTTGGTGGCGTCGTGCATTGTCCGAAAGGCATCACCTTGAACTCGTACGGTCCATACGGCTTGACGAAGGCTCTCTTCTCGTGGTCCTGTTCATCCACTTTGATATGCCAGTAGCCGCTCTTCAAGTCGATCGATGAAAAATATCGAGAGTTGCGTAGCCGGTCTAGCGTGTCGTCGATACGGGGGAGTATATAGACGTTTTTCTTCGTCACCGCGTTCAGCTGCCAGTAGTCCACGCAAAACCTAAGCGTACCGTCCTTCTTCTTAACCACTACAGTTGGAAAGGCCCACAGACTTCTTGAAGGCTGTATTATATCGTTGATCAGCATCTCTTCTACTTGCTCCTGTATTACCTCCATTTCCCTTACGCAGCCTCTTAATACAGCAATCGAGCGAACGGCGGTTTGGCGCACCTTCGACGACGTCGCCAATCAGCCGCTGTATCGGCAAAGAGGTTAATCAACTGCCTTCGTTTCGGGCCCGGAAGCTTGGTGTCAACGTCGAGCTGTTCGGGCGACGTACTGACTTGGTAAGGTGACAAGAACGCATCAGTAATCGCGGCGATTTCGGCGGAGTTCAGGAGTTCCTCCACCTGACCCACAGAGACCCCTTTCGTGAGGAGTTGCGCTTCTTGTCGGAAGTTCGTCACGAGGACCATAGTTTGCTCATCCCGAAGTTCTGTTACTTATTTTTTCGACGGCTATTCCTCATTCCAGGAGCAATTTAATGTTGCCTTCCAGAACAACCACGCCACAGGTAGCTGAATCTGTTACGATGGGTACCACAACACTTGATTGCTGCGGCAGTTTCACGTGGTCGGTAGCTACTCGCACGGCGATTGAAGTGGTTTGGGGCTTCTCTGGAGGTGGAACAGGTGTCTGCAACGTAACCTTGTTATCTCCAAGGTCGCTGATGGCGCCGTATTTGTACACAATGTTCATGCCGAAAATTACGTGTCTACCACACTCTTATACAACGAAGAACTTGACTGGACAGGTCTCCTAGTGAATTTCGACGCGAGCAGTGCACGTCTTAACAAGAGTGATGACGTGTCTTCCGGTGGTGCGTATTTACGGGCCGTCCAAGGACATCGTGACTTTTCGAAAGTGGCGAGAGAGTTTCCCATTCAAAACTGAGTAGTCTGCTCCGGTGTCCACGAAAGCTGATGCGTCGTGGCCGTCGACAACAATGTTTAGGTTGTTGGGCACTGTTGCAGGAGGGTCGTTGCGATACGTGGCGTCGGGAGAGCGGGAACGCTCCGTCGTTCTTGGAGGCTCTTTACTTTGGTCGTCTTCGGCAACCCCACCTCCACGCGTTGACGCAATTAGTTTTCCCGTTGAAGCAGGGGAGACGGGCACTCTCGGCGGGGCTTTGTCCTTTTGAAAAATATCATTTGTATGAGAAATTTCTTTGTCGAATAAACACCTATGAATTATACAATATATATATTGACAGAGGTGACCATGCTCCTATTCTCCAGCTCTTACGTCGACTGGCTCCCGTCGAATACGAAGTTATTCGAACAGAAGTCGCTGACATGCTTAGTCAAGGGGTTGTCACACCATCCAACAGCCCGTGGTCGTCGCCAGTTGTCCTTGTGCGTCAAAACGATGGATCTATCCGTTTTTGTGTTGAATATAGAAAGATCAACAGCATCACATAACAAGACTTGTACCCTTTACCCCGTGTTGATGATTCGCTCGACAGATAACAAGGCGCCAGATACTTTACCACTCTTGACCTGTTATCCGGGTACTGGCAAGTTCCGTTGAACCCAAAGGATGCTGAAAAATCTGCGTTTGTAACACCCGCTGGACTTTATCAATTCACACGATTGCCATTTGGCCTTTGTAACACTCCAGCTACATTCCAACGGCTTATGGATAAGGTTCTAGGTCACCCCAAATGGATCATGGCACTTGTTTACCTTGACGACATTATTGTATATGGTAGAACGTTCGAAGAACACAACCGGAGGCTTGAACTTTCTCTTGACGCACTCCATCAAGCGAACTTGCGGATCAAACCTCAAAAGTGTTTTTTATTTTTTATTTGAAGAGTTTCTTTACCTTGGTCACGTCATCAGCAAAGACGGCACCAAACCTGACCCCGCGAAGCTAGAAGCGGTATCAAAGTACCCAAAGCCGACTCGCCTCTCCGAAGTAAAAAGCTTCCTCGGCTTTGCGTCTTAATTTCGGCGGTTCATTCCAGTACTCGACAGTGTCGCAACACCCTTTACACGTCTTCTTCGTAAAAATAGCCTTTGGCAATGGACCATAAGCGAGGAAAAAGCTTTCAACGATCTCAAAGAAAGTCTTCTTCAGGCACCAATCTTGGCCCATTTCGATCCGGAATTACAATCTTTCCTGCATACCGACGCCAGCGGAAGTGGTCTGGGAGCTGTGCTACTTCAAGAGCACCCCTCGACAACAACTCAAGGAGTCATCGGGTACGCCAGTCGTCGTCTCACAGATACGGAACAACGGTATCATTCGTCAGAACTGGAATGCCTTGCTCTCATCTGGGCTGTCCAACACTTTCGGCCTTATTTATGTGGTCATCATTTCACGGACATTACAGACAATTCAGCGTTACTGTGGCTTCAACCAAAACGTGACCTACTCCTAAACTCGCTCGCTGGGTTCTACTACTTCAAGAATATCAATTAAAAATTCCTCACCGTAGCGGGAAATACCACACAGATGCCGATTTCCTCTCTCGTAACCCAGTAGCCCCGGCCGAAGAGGTAAACAAAGAATATGTTAAATTTTTCATTCCTGTGCTTAACCTTACTGATAACCAAAGATAAGACTCAGAAGTTCAAGGCGTTGTGTCGCGACTTAGGTCACCTCCATTGCATACACCAGAGCGACGACTACGCCGTGCCTATCGTACCCACCACGGCCTACTCTACCATCGTGGATCTCAAGGTTGGTCGCCCTTTGTACCCGTGAAATTACGTCCAAGTGTACTTCATCTCTGTCACGATGACCTGACCGCTGGACACCTTGGAAGAGATAAAACTGCTAAGAAGTTAGAGCGTTACTGGTGGCCAGGAGTTCGCGCGGACGTCGCCAAGTACACCGCGTCCTGCGTCAAATGTCAGTCTCGAAAAACTACGAACCCCACCACTGCGGCGTCCAACCTGTTCCACTTCCCAAAACACCATTAGAAATTTTCGGCATTGACCACCTCGGCCCATTTTCTTGTAGGCGAGATGGCAACAAATACGTTCTGGTCGCCATTGACTACCTTAGCAAATGGGTAGAGCTACGACCAGTTCCAAATACCGCGGTCGGTCATGTTGTTCAATTCCTGCGACAAGTTATTCTTCGACACGGAGTCCCTCGGGTCCTCGTAAGCGACCGCGGCTCGTGTTTCCTTTGTCGTCAATTTGTGAAGGAAACAGAACTGCACGGGATTCATTTCAGGCTCGGGCGGCTCCGTATCATCCGCAGCCTTCCTGGTGACCAAGGTAAAGAAAACTTTCTGTAGGCATTTCACCTAAAAAAAAAAAGAACAGTTTAAGAAAAAGTTTGGTTTCTGGCGAGACATTACTAATTTCCCCTTTTGTGTAGAGAAGTAAGATATATGTAGTGGCATCTAGATTAGATATATGTGTTATCTTATCAAGCCGTGCACGTTTTGTGCGCCAAAGCATTGATTCTTCCTCTGATAACCACATCTTGTAAGAACTACTTAGCGCTGCGTATGACCAATGCGGAAAACTTCCTTCGTTGTTATCTTTTGAGGTGATAACAAGTTTAGTGGAAAATGTTTCAGTTCAGTTCTCCAGACAAAAACGGTTTCTTCACACTGACTCGTAGAAAAAATAAATTTTATCAATTCATGTTGTTAAAGGCCACTCCGGTCGAAAACAAAATCAAAATGAATTAAAGGCATCGCTTTAGTGGCACGAAATATGATCACAGCCGAAATATTACGTCGAAATGAAGCCGCACGTTTTACTAAAACCGATTTTAAACAAGCGACCAGCTGCTGTTTACCGTGTGGCAAGAGGGTTAGCTTTCAGTCAGGAAACACTGGTGCAGTACCCTTGTAACGTCACGTCACGGCCATATGGCTGATGATCAGTGTTGCCGTCCCTCCCTCGAGCAGTTTGTTTCGTTTTTGCGGTAGACGCCCGAAACCAAATTTTCGAGCGTGATATGTATAAAACCTACGCGCAATATTTAGAAAAAAAAGTCCAGCGCAATTCAGGGACACTCTTTTAGCTGAATGCAGTCGTGATCCCAAATTAAAAGGTTGATCAGAGTTGTCCTTTAACTAGTATTATATTACTCTAAAAATTGGGAGCAGGTTTAAAGATATAATTCCTAAACATCTAAGAAAATGGACAGTGTTCTACATTGCGCAAAATGCCTTCATTCGAGATGTCATATGTGAAATATTTGTTTCTGATTGCTGTAACCTTTATAAGTCATATACAATCTCTGGGTAGCTTGCGGCCAAGAGCGATAAAAAGAAGAAAGCGTGACGTCCGTCTACGTATTGTATCCTATGAATTCCTGTTCAGCGCAAGGGGCTTGGCATGCATTCGACTTCTGTGTGCTGCACCGCCATCCTCAGTTTTGTGCTGGCAGAACCTACGTTGAAGCGGGCTTCCCAGAGATTAAAAAAAGAGACCTGTGGCCCTAAGCTACACGGCGGGACCAAGCGGGACCAAGGGACCGGGGCATGGCCACCCCCAGCGATTGGTCAGCGCATTTCCTCTAACCAATCGCAGCAGGTATCGATGTCCTGGTTTCTTGGTCCCGCCTTGCAGCTTAGAGCCTCAGGACGCAAGACGGCCGTTGGTTGTGTGGCCGTTAACATGCGCTCTTTAGATGGTCACATTGCTGCACTTCTCTGCGGCGTCCCCGACTTCTACACCATCTTATTCTTCGAGGTAACAAGGCAGTAGTGCTGGTTTTTTCTATGCCACCTAGCGAAGGCGGGACGTTGGTCGAACAGGATTGCTGCGTCAGCGATCGGACTCCTGTTCAGTCAGCGAGGCCACGATTCATAGCTGATCGCTGACTTGTACACAATCATTGCCCCATTACGGGCATCGCTAGCAGAAAAATCGAAAACCCAAAAATACTCCTTTTTATCTGGGAGGTGATGATCAGCCGTGGCCGGTGCCTACTATATAAGTTACACTATGCATGTCAGCTTCTCTCCAAGATGTGTCCGGGCTCGATGCTTCACCTCACACCACGCACGTACGGCTAGGCAGACATGTACAAATTACTCAAAAAAGGTAGTTAAATTAAGTTACTAAGTATCGACGCCAAAAGTAGTTGGAGTAGAGTAGAAATTAAGCATTTGTAATAGTAATCGAGTAAACTACTAACTACTGCGAAAAAGTAGCCAGTTACTTTTAAGTTACTTTCGAAGTTACTTTTTTATATTTTTGTGGCAGCAAAAGGACCAGCAGTTTTGATTAGTGAAAAACCCTGCGAGACTGAAATAAATGCAGTCATTTTATGACTTTCAAAATAGTTTATTCGCTCGCAGAAGCAATTGTCTTTCAAAGTTGTTATCGGAGGGTTTTCCCCTTTTCCTTCTAATGACGTCCTCAGTCAAGCTAAACAGGCGTTCCACCGTGGCGCTGGATGCAAAGGCAGCGTTCAATATCAGAAGCAGGCTGTGCAGGCTTGGGTAAGCGAGTGTCGGCATCTTTGGTGTCCATGACGAAACATGTGAGGCTTGCCTCGGCTAGAGGGTCCTTTATAACAAACTCTCCTCATCCTTCCTTTTTTTATTCGGCAAGTTGAGACTGTTATGACTGGCCCCTCTTTATTCTCACGACGTCCGGAGAGTTGGCCGAGCGAGTGCACCTGACCGCCAAAAGATCAAGTCTCGCGCCACGACGATGGGATCATCCGAATGACTACGCGTCTCGTTGCAATGTTAATGCTACGCCACTGAGAAAAAAAATGCTTTTCGGCGCTGACGTTAGGTCCAACAAAAGGATCTCCCAAGGGTGACAAGTACAACCTTTTCAACAAAGAGGAGGTCTTCCTGGCGTGGAAGGTCGGAAGGACGTGAAGGATTACGTGGACAAGCGGGAAGCGGGAACGTGCTCCCATGAACGGATTAAGGATAGCCCACATGGTGCGTTTTTCCCCGCGTCTGCGTCGCGTCTGCGCCTGCGCTTTGACGTCACTTCCGGCGCAAGGACGAAACGCAGCGTTTTTAGGCGCATTCCGGCGTATCTGGAGGAGCCAGATATTTTGCGTCCAGGCGGCGCGTCTCCCGCTGCGTCCAGCAGGCAACAACCAATGAACGGCCGTGTTTAGTAGCAAGCAGCGTTTGAAGTTTCTTCAGTTTTCACCACTGTAGAATTCTTGTAGTTTTTGCCACGGCCTTGCGAAAATGGCAGTGAACAACGAACGCCTAATTAGCGAAGTTGAAAAGCGTCCTGCGCTCTGGCAGCCAGAATGTAAGGATTACAAAGATACAAAAAAAAAAAAAATCGGCCATTTGGAGTGAACTCGGCGATCTCCTTCTGCCGGGAGACAAGGATCGCGGTAAGTCCTAACTTTCACCAACGAAAGTGCCCACCTCAATCTTAGTCTTCTTTTTATTTTAGTGGACAAAGTCCAGAAACGTTGGAGATCTCTCCGGGACAAGCTGGTGCGCTTGCTGCGCGACATGAAGAAAACCAGGACGAGCGGTGCCGGCGCCGACGACGTCGAAGACCCGATGTCGTGGCCGCACTTCGAACAGATGTATTTCGTGCGAGATACCCTGCAGCATCGAAGGTAATGCGTGCACTGCGAATTCTCCGATAGTGTTCTTTGATTAAATTATTTGATAGCCGTCCAGGCTTCGCTGTCCCCAAATAATAGATCGCCACTCATAGATTCCACGTGTGCATGCCTCTGGTATGGCCCTTCGGTCTTTCTGCTGTCACCGGCATCCGAGTGCAAATAAACATGATCATTATTATAATTACGCAATTTTACGGCTCTTTTAGTGACGTTCTGATACACTAAGGTCTGAGTAGATTTGGAGCTGCGTTGTAGCTGTGCCGATCGAACATTTCGGCTAGCATAAGCTTCCTGCACAATGTGAACTTTCTACTGGTTAATACTCAGTGGGATGAAAGGTACAGAAAGAACGAAATAGATTGAGGCTATTTTTAGCAGTGTGCAGTGACTTATGACCATTTTTCATGCTAACTCAGCGAAATCTGCCGAAGCGCTTCACACAATCGTTCACTGCACTAGTGAGCCTAGCCTTCCCCTACCCGAAAATTCCTGGCTGTGCCCATGATGTGTGGCACTGATTGTTTGTTTTATTAAACTAATTTTTTTTTCTTCTTAATCAACAGCACGTCAGGAAACGTGAAGACATCTAGCACATCGTGTAATAACGACTTCATCCGTCCGGTGAACGAGGGGGCCTATTTAGACGAAAGTGGGGCAGCGGATGGGCCGGAGCCGGAGGCTTGCATTGTCGAAGTGTATGAAGTGGACGAGGAGCACCTGTCTGGGGGGGTGGGAAGCCCATTCCCTCCAGTTTTTTCCAGTGGCGCTATGAACGAGCCGCAAAAGAAAAAAAAAAGAGCAATCCTGACCCGCTCTTGACGGTGCTCCAAAATATAAGTTCTAGTGTTGCATGCCAGAAGAAGCCAGATGCGCATGAATACTTTGCCCTATCGTTGTGCGATCCAATGCGATCTATTCATCCATCCAAGGTTTTAAGAATGCGTAAAAACATCCTGCAGGCTATCGAAGACTGCCAGGACTAGATAACTTAGGCTTGTTTCAGATGGGGCAATTTTTTCCAGTAATACCGCCGTTCCTTGCTATACCCGTTTTCACCTCAAGAACCATAGTAAAAAAAGTTCGGCTAATCGCGGAGCATTACTAATTTCCCTCGTTACGCTGAGAATTGAGACATATGGAGGTGTATTTTAGATTAGATATGTGTTCTCTTATCAAGACGTACACGTTTCAAACGCCAAAAGCATCGCTTCTTCCTCCGACGACCAAATTTTGTGAGAACTACTTCGTGCGGCGTAGGAACATGGAGCAAAACTTCCTTTTTTCTTGAGGTGAAAACGGGTATAGGTGTCATCGAGCCGGATCAATTCCAGCAATTCCGTGTTTCAGCTCGAGGATCTGTAAATTGCTCTGTCTGTAGTGGGACTTCGCGCTGCCAAGAGGGTACCTGGTTTAATTTTGTTCTATTTTTAATGTTTAAAAGCTACTGGGGGTGCAATAGTGGAATGTAACATTCAGTGCATTTAGTCTACAGTTGCAGGGCATTTACAGACATGAGGCGGTTGTGTGCAATACATTACCTGAGTACAACTTTTTCTTTGGTAAGATTGCTGCATAGCATATTGTGCCCAAGCAACGTTTTCATACTATTAACAATATCTTATTTCTAGGAATGAAAGTTGTCAAGACTAATCTTCTTTTACGAGTTTCACTTTGATTATATGTACCTGGTATGTTGTTACTGTTACCATTTTAAGTCGTGGATTCTGTACTGCTGCAGCAGGCAATTTACAAAGATGGTGATATGTTCAAGTTACATCTATATACAGAATATTTATTCAAGAATTCCAATACATTGATACAACTAGTGCAATAATAAATTCAAAACAAAATATGCAATGTGAGAAATATGTAAACTTGACAAGTTGTTGTGAATCAATACACCTACAGCATCTACTAAGTGCCTTCAAACAGCAACTTACTAATGAAGCAACTGGATAGAAATGTAATCGGGACTTGGTGCTGCATGTACAGGTTAGTTGAAATAATCATGGTTAGTCAAATTAACTAGTCATTGCCGTGTGGCACGTGCACTCAACGGATAGGCTAAAATGTTATCTCTGAACATGCAACCCCATCCTTTTTTTTTTTTTTTACAGCTGTAGAGGCGACGAGTATAGACATTCACTTTATGCTGCAATTTTGTTGTTCAGAAATGTACTGTTAATTGCCACGATATTTTCTGGTGATGTACGATTCTTGCTATAGAACATTTACTATATTTGCAAGCGCCTCGGCCCGCACTCGAGGAATCATGGGAACGGTGTTCCTTCAGCTCCTTGGTGATTGCTAATTTTGACCAATTCCATGGTTACACAGTTTTTGAGCACAACTCGGAATCACCCTACCCCCAAAGACCTGTCGTACCACTTTTAAAATTGCTCGTGAATGTCAGCATTTTTGATACTGTGCATGCGATCCACCTTTCAACCTGACCGAGCTGCAGAAATCTCTTGCAATATTATCATTCTCGTGATTGTTGTTTTAGCGGCAATGGTTTAAAAAGCCGACAATTCACAACAACAAAAACCAGGATTTAGCTCGGAGTCAGTGGGGCTTATAGCATTTTTAAAGTTTCCAACTTAATATCACGAAAATGATAATAATGCAAGAGATTTCTGCAGCCCGTCCAGGTTGAAGGGTGGACAGCATGCACAGTGTCAAAAACGCTGACATTAAGAAATTTTAAGAGCGATATGATAAGGCCTTAGGGTATATCAGGCGCTTGTTCAGGGTGACTCCGAATTACACTCAAAAGCTATGTAACCATAAATTGGGTCGAAATTACCGATCACTAAGGAGCTGAAGGGACACCGTTCCCATGATTCCTCTAGCATAGGCCAGGGCGCTTGGGGGATATTGCGAATGGTCTATTGTGTTTATTAAAGTTCAGAATCTAGTTAATATTTTGTTTTGTGTCTTCCGAGGTTCGCCAAATAAATGTCAACTTGACTCAAAATTTTACATGAGGTTCACATGGACTCCGAGCTTTCGCAGGTTTCTTCGTGCAACCTGTTTGTTCACGCCAGGCTGGTCCCACTGCCAGGAAACCTCCCCAGCAGGACTACAGAAATAATACATGTACATCTTCCTGGCGAAGTCTGCATCATCGCCAAAGTTCCGTGCACGTGTGGCCTCCAGCGGAAACAGCAATTCCCTCGCTGAGTCTGGGATCTCGCGGCGCCACCCTCCTGCCGTGGGGTTTCCCATGTTGTCGTCCTGATCAGCATAGGCTGCTGGGTGTTCGCTGTGTACCAAGAGAAAGTTGTGCAGGACACCGCAGGACTTGATGACGTAATCGACGTTCTCTGGCAGGAGGTTGATTGTCCGGAGGAGAATTCTCCACCGGGCGGACATGATCCCAAAGGCATTCTCCACACACCTTCTGTTTGACAGAAGTTATTAAAGTGATTAGTGTGCACACAATAGCACTGGAATAAAAGGAATAGTGAAACACTGACAGATGTTCTAAACATGGAAACTGGATGCACTTCTAAGCAATTTATGAAAGACTTGGGACTAAAAAATGTGTATGATGAAACCCGAGTGTAAATCGATTCACAAAATCATTGCAAGACAAAATCCTACGACAGTTTCTTAAATGTGCTGAGCACTTCACAAGAGGCAGTTATAAAAGTAATACTATTGGGGGCAAAACGAAAAAAAAAGATGGCAAAATTTCTGTTGCAAGGCAGGTGTACCTTTCTGTAGTCGCGAAGTTAAAAAAGTTCCTCCTCGTAGTAGACTACAATGCTGCTAGAGCGCTAAACTCAAGATAGTGAAATTAGAGGAGGAGGTGGAAGTTTGCGCAGTGATGAGCTCCCGAGTTGAGCACATCCGGTGTATGCCGAGCTTGAGGTCATCCGCGGCATCCTGCTCAGTGTGACCAAGGTCATTGAAATTGAAAACTCAAGACAGCTTGCCCTGTTGGCACTGTCTGCAGTGCTTGGGCACAATCGACAAACAAGTGTTGTCGATTGGAAGACTAGAAGGGTAGGAGGGGGCATGACGTCAGCCGTCTAGCCTCCACAATCCAAGCTCCCTTGACGCCTCGACTTTCTCATTTTCCTCCTTACCCTCCTCACTTATCGGCCCAAGACGCAATCTACCGGACGGAGCTGCTTGCTTCCCATCTAGCCTTCGATCTGATAAAACCTACCGGACGGAGCGCGCGCAAGCCTTGCAAGGAATCCTGCTACAATCAACCATCCATCTCGCACGTGACATGTCACGTGCACCAATTGCCAGAGAGATCTTGGGTCAAGTTTGGTACAACATTGTTTAAACTTTTTTATGACTGGGCTTCACACATATTGCAATGTGCCCCCTCCTAGTACTAATAAACTCCTTGGATAGCCCACTCTCAAGATGTTCAGGACTTGCAATACGCCGAAACGTGTCACTGTCCTTTTTGTTAACTCCTGGGCCTGCATCTGCAAATAAACTGGCAAAATCAAAACTAACTGAATTTTCGCCCCCCAAAATAGAAGCACGGTGTCTAGCAATTTATTATTTTGAAATTCCCTGACTTTTCCTGACAATTTCAGGCGAAACTCCCTGACCACTTAAATATATAAAACAATTTGGTTAAATATACAAGACAATTACAACACAAGAAATTGAGCACTGTGAGGATAATTTTCTGCAGGCTTGATTCAAATTGCATATTCCGAAATATTCGGGTTGGTCCCGGTTTTCCCGGTCACTAGATACCCCGAGAAGTGTTGCTCACAGTATGATTATTAAGAGGACTGCTTTCATGATTTGTGCCAGACGGAAGTTCAGTTTCGGTTAGAACATGGTCAACATAGCCGGGGAAACTCCTGACATATACTTCAATTTTAAATAGAACATGAAAATTGTCTTCAGTGTCCTTTTAAGACTGTGTTCATGTGCTCAGATTTCACCAATTTAGCAAGCTTGTCTTAGTGCAAAGATTTTCATTAATCTTGACTCCAACTTCTTATCTATAGCAGTTATCAAAACATGCACTGCACCACAATTTTCTGTCTGGTGGTTTGATTGTGCAACACGAACCAGACCCGTATATGGGGAGAATCTGGCCAGTGGGTGTGGCGACGAAGGTGCTGGAGAGGAGAAAAGTGAAAGAAGGGGAGGAGAGTGACGAAGGAGCGAGAGAGAAAGAAGGGAGCAAAGAAAAGACTACCGCCGTTTTGATGCGACGCTGTCGACGCGCCAAGCATTGTTGAGGCTACAAGTTGTCTACTACGAGCTTATTTCTTTTTCGCCTGAATAGAAGTTTGCGTCTAAACATGGAGAAACTTTATTCGTTAGCTCTTTAAGCCGCTGAGGAATAACTTCTTGCCAGAGCCTGCCAAATCAAAAGAGAAAACCGAAATTTTGATGTCAATCCCATTCATACTGCCGGACGAATGAATGAAAATGGTGGCCCTCCCCGCGCAGCTGGGAGCAGCCGGGAGTTCATGCGCATGCGCTCATTCCTCTCACTCTGCGCCGCAGGCTGGCTGGCTCACTTGGGAGGGGGGCGTTATGGCGGCGAGATCATAAACTGGCCAAATTCTCCCCATATACAGCTCTGGTATGAACTTACCGAGCTCGACTGAGTCTGTAGTTGCAGGCCCTCCTCTCATCAGCAAGACCTTTCGCCGGATATGGGCGGAGAAAGTCGGTGCGAAGCTGAAACGCCTCGTCGCCCACAAATGCGTAAGGTGCCAGGCGTGGCTTTTGACACCCTGGGAGCACTCCCAGCTTCGGCAGGTTGAGTGTGCCTTGATCTAGGCCCTGACCAATCTCGGAGGCCTTGAAAATGCCGCCATCACTTTGTCGTCCCTCTGCACCGACGTCAATAAGCACAAACTTGTACTTGCTGTCTACCACAGCCATCAGGACTATGGAGTAGGTGCCCTGTAACAAAAGTAGGGCAACTTAGTTCATCAAAGCATTCACTGTAAGGACAACATCACCGAGTTCCATATTCTTAGTTTGCAACACCTTCAGGCTAGACAAGCCTTTAGACTGCCCCGTCTTAAATTAAACTTAATGTGATACTTTACCAGCTATGAGCTTCCCATAAAATATTTCAACGACTCAATTTGAGGTGAAATTCCACTGTGCAGAGAAACTATGCTAAATACCATGCGTTTTGAAAAGTACTTGAAATAACAGACTTAAATTGCCGGCCACAGCACTCAGCAAATGTCACTGTGTAAATTAGTAGCCTCCTGATGGTGGAAGGAGACTCACGAGATTATTGTGCACATCAAAGAAGTGTGCATCAGACAGAGTGGAGGTTGATGTTGGAACCAGGCACATATCCAGAGGCAAGGCCCAGGGTTCTCGGGACCACCTACAAAATTTGATGGCACGCCCTCTCCCTCACCCAGGCCAAACTGACAACGATGGGCCTCCCCCCTCCCCTCAAAAAAGAACTCCTGGCTATGTGCTTGGCGGGAGCAGTGGTATACCGATAGATCTTAGGTCTGCATTTGTTAAAGACACACATAATGTGTCGCAATTGGACGTTGAGTTTAGGCAACACGACACAGTGGTAAATTCCAAAAACTCTTCTACAAATGTCGGGTGGGGGATATGGTCGTGGAATGCCTGTACACTTGTAAAACCTTACTGTCTCAGGCAAACTGCCCAGGGATAAGTCGCACAATGAGTGCAATCAATGTTATCTGAACCCGAGACTGCGGTAAGGAAAAGAGAAACTTGGAAGCAGAAGAATACGACACAAGCAAGAGGGTGACATCTTAACATCAATTAGTTCTCAATTTGTTAGCACAAGACTTTTTTCCAGACTCACTACATTGTGCCCTCAGAGAAATTTAGAGCCAATATACTGCAAATTTTATTTTGGTTGATTACGTGCGCGGAAAGACATTTCTGGGTAGCTAAACTCGTGGAGAAAAACATTCTTCGCTTTCTGACGTAGCGTGAGGAGTGACCAAAAGAACGCCGCAAAGTTTCCTCCTCCCTGCGCGCGCTCAACTTCGCAACTTTTGACGAAAAATCCCCCGCAATCTCTAGGCGGTGCACGAGAGCACGAGACAGCGCGGGGAGGCGAGCGTTCACGCCGCTCGCTGTACATTGTCTTTGAGCTCTCTAGCGCCGACAATCCCGTCATGCCTCGCCCAGGCGAGGAGCGAGAGCAGACGACGAGAGTTTGTCTGCTATGATGCGGCATTCGCACAGCGGAACCGAAAGAAAAAGTTGGTTTTCTGCTCAAAATCGCGTCCCGCGGGCCACAAACCCAAACGCGAGCTTGAATTGTAAGCGTCCGATATTTCAGGAAGGGAGGAATCGACGACCCGTGTTTTATTTGCAAAATTTGAGTCACTTTCTTGCCGTGCAGACGCTGAAACCTACCAGTGTGTAATGAAAGGCCCAGGACAAACGCAGAGGCCGCGAGATATTGCATCATGTATGTGCGGGTGAAAAGTGGAACATTTTCGACAAAGCTCCCTTGCCAGAAACCCGTGACGCATTTACTCAGCGTCCGGGAAGTCTAAACATGAAAACGTTGCCCGAGGCTCACGCAAAGTCATATTTGAACGGCAGCTATCTTGCCCCGTCGTATTTTTTATTTTTTTTTTGAGAAAGGTCTTGTTTTCAATGCCCCACAAGGGAAATAAAAAGTCTCACGAAACGTATTGTTAGATGTTCCAAACAACTAGATTTAAGCCGCATCCTTTCAGTGGTTCACTCATTATACTATGCTTAAAACGAAGCAAGCTCTTGCGCTTACAGTGCCATCAATTTTCTCAAGTGTATGCTGTTTTGTAGTCAGCTGGTTTCGGAAACTTACGCCGTCTGTAGATATTTCTAACAGCCGAGTTCCTTAATTAGAAGTCATTGCAAATATAAGTTACACGTTGCAGCAACCAAAGTTTATAGATAAACAATGGCAGCGACTGCGCTCTCGCATGCCCACCCATCATGTCGAATAAAAAGGTGCTAGTTTCGGTTTGAGGTTGGTACTTTTCTACAACACCTACGGCGTCAGTACCAGTCTGCACTCGGTGCATTCGGCAAGTTCGTTCGGGGCCTGTTCTCCGTGCAGCACTCCACGGGTGCAATGCATTAGAACTCTCACAGTGCAAGTCTGAATCGCGGATCGGGAGCCCGTCACTGGCCCCACCGCGGCTATTGCTTGACAACAGGCAATACGCCGCGTCCTGTCTAGTTCTCCCTTCGGTTCCGTCCTTGTTGTTTTGGCGTATTACACCATGAGGCAATACACGCAAGTCTAAGGGAGAAACACGCAAAAATAGGAAGCTTGTATGCAGTGTTCAAGGGCGAGTATTTTATGACGTGCTGCGACGATTATATCAGGTGCTTAAAGGTCAAATAGACATTCGTCAAACTTTCGAACATTGATTAAAAGAAATGGCCTGGAGGACCACCGATTTTACCGACGTCGCTTGCTTCGGTTGCTAAATAAATGGCGCGTTCAGCGACTGAACGGCACGCTCCGAGTTTCAGTTTGTCACGGAAGCCCTCGCAGCAGTTCAAAGAAAAAGCTTTCACCATGAAGTACTATGACAAGCGGTTAAAACGATGCGATGCGAATGTCCCCAGTAAAGGCCTTCTAACTTATCATTTGCTGAGCTCTGATGACTCCGAGATCACGTATGACTCCACAATAACTCTCGGTAGCCCTTGTCTCACTAAACACATCACAGTTAACGCCCAACAAAGTCGCCCTCCACCCTCAACCACACAACATTTATTTAAACAAGATTGGTATTCTAACGCATTTATTATTCTTGCCCACAATATTAACCGTTATTTGGGGAAGCACGATAGAAGTTTCATTATTGAGAAAAACCTACTAACGTAATAAAATTGAGTTTTCCCGTTTCTCCTACAGCATGCATTAGCTCATGTCAAGCAATGACTGCCGGTGGTGCCACTCGACCCCAGCAATACAGGCCTATATCCGCGATCCAGCCTACTAAGAGATCAGTGGTGGCAGTGCTATTAGACATAAATCGTTTATTTGCATTGGTACACCCATACCTGCCGGATGTCGGGACGAGGCGCAAAACCGTACATCCGGCCAGTATTGAAGCCGGTTTTCGGCTGAAATTGCCTCGACACTCGCCAAGAAGCAACGCGCTTCTTTGGCGACTCGTTTGCGTAATTTATTTGTTCAGTCATTTTATTGTGTCCCGGGCCACTGTGTACACCCCAAAAAAGAAATGTACTGTGGTAATTACACCTTGACGAGAAGCAGGCACGTGGCCAGGATTTTGTTTCAGGGGGAGAGGGGGGGGGGGGGCGGGCATGACAAAGTACTCTATGAGGGGGAGGGGGGAGAGGAGGCCTCAGCAAATGGAAGTTTTCGGGGGGGCCTTATGGTTCCTCCCCGCCCTGGCTACGTGCCTGACAAGAAGGGGTATTGTAGTTTTACATCTTAAAATGGTGCAGTGCATTATCACACGTTTTAAGGAACGTGTTTAAAAAATTATGAGTTTTTAAAGGTGTGAGGTTTAGATTTTTTTTTATAAGGTCTATTGATACACTTATTAGAGGGTTATTTATGGGACACCCCACTTACATGCATAAAGGTGTGAAAATGTTGAATGTGTATATACCTCTAACTGAAAAAAATCTCTTCATGTGATTACATTGCGTGCCGATGAAACGATCTGTCAATGACACCTCGTTCGATGAACTGATTTGACCGCCAATGAGCAACGACTGCCAGTAGAATTTCCGGGGAATAATTCTGCCGGCTGCCGGGAGACTCGACCCTACCCTAGAATTACCCCGGCTCTTGTTTGTTTTCCAACATTCTGAATTGTCAACCAGCTTATTAGCACCTCTTCGGATATTACAGAAAAAAGCGATGGCAGCCGCAAGAACTCTGACAGCCCGGCTCACAGTCATGTGGGAGACTGACAGGTGCTCGTCAGTCGCCACCATGCCTTGAAAGCTGCCGGTTCCGAAGAACCGGAGCGCGCAGAGAACTTGTGGTTCCACGGTCATGGTAGACGCGATTGCCGGCCGCCTCGAAATCCGGGCGCTGAACGAAGCTCGTCGCTGAGTCAAGGCACTATGGCTTTCGATAGCCGGTACTGTGGCCGAAAGTCGTCGTCGGTGAGTTGAAAGGCGTCCCCGGTGGTCTCGGTAGCGACGCCGACGATGGCGGAAGATAAGCTCAGCCGCAGCGTACGGCACCGCCATGTTGACAAACTTCGCCTCGATCCGAAGCGAAGATCTCGAGCTCAAACCACGACTCTCGCAAAGTTCGGAAACGTCACTTTGACCTCAGCGACAACTTCGAAAAACGAGGTTTTTTTTTTTAACACAAACTTTGGAGGGATTTGGAGCGTCAGCCGGTCGCCGAGGGACAATCTGCAAAGCATTAATTTTAGATTGGTGTAGGGATGTAGGGACAAACGGCCGCTACGTCATCGGCGAAGCCGTTCAATCAGCGGGCTCCTCGCGCCCCTCACGCGCGACTCGATGAACTTCGCTACATTCTGCCTCTCTAAAAAAAATGAGCATTCGAATGATTGACACCTTGCTCGGCGTGACGTCAGCGTCGCGCGAGTCCAATTAGCGCGTTCCGCAAACTTTGGGCACAACGTTGTGCTTGATGAGATTAGCGACCCTGGTTTGTGATATTTAGGGGGAAGCTTTAAACTTAACATTATCCTTGTTTGGTTCACTGTCTCGCCAGGCAATTTATATCATCCTTCAGGATAGTGACGATAGTCTTTCTTATTTTTTCAATATTACCCACGCATTCAAGAAAGAGTGAGTTGAGAGGTTCCACAGACTTCTTCTCAAGAACTGATGCTGGAATGTTACCCTTCTTCAAAAATGACGCTCAGCTGTAACCCCCCTGTGTCTTTTTCTCCCACTTCATA